GATTCAAGCCATGCCTCCACCTACTTCCAGGAAGAAAACATAAGCTTCATTTCCACTTTGTGATTATACTCACAGGTAATTCTTAAATATTCTGATTTTTCATTATGGCTAGCCATTATGACAAATTTAAGATTTTGAAATTATTGAAGACTTAGTTTTTCAGGCAGGTATAGTTAGCATGGGGAATGTAAAGTGTCAGATTAGAAGGACAAGGGGATTCTAAGAGTGTGTGTCCTGGAGTTGGGCTGGCTCTGCTATTCACTTCTATTTACTTACTGTATAACTTTGGGCAAGTCTCAGTCTTTGCATCCTCTTATGCACAGATGAGGATAAAATCAGTATGTACCCCATGAGGACAATAAAATGATCTAATACATGTAAAAAGCTTTTTCCAGTGTCTGGTACCTGGGAAGGAATTTTAAAAGTTACCTAGTCTGAAAAATAGCACCCTATTCTTAGATCATTTAGACTCATGTTTCTTTCTCTAAATGTGTTTGATATTGTGGAATTTTAAAATTTTTCCTCATTAACGGAGAAACTAAAAGAATATCATTTTCATTGCTCTTAAAAAAAAAAAGAAGCATTTCAGGGATACAATGTATAGGATAAAATGTATAGGTTGTCATTGTGACACACAGTGTGACACATAGAGTGGATGCATAGGAGCAAAGATAAAGGAATGGTTCCCAAAGATGGAGAAGCCAAAAGAGAAATATGTCAAAGCTAAATAATATTTTTAAATCTCTTAAATAATATTACTTTTTAAAAACAGTGTTTCCTAAGCTATCCAGTAGAGGATGACAGTAAGCAAGGTAGTTGAATTCTTTAAGAACAGTTGATCCTTAAAACCCAGAATGAAAACAGCTCAAAAGGTTTCCCTGGTAATATTACACGAAGGAATACTGTTGAACTTTCCCATGTAATCTGAAAGCTGACTTACATCAAGTTTCTGGAATGATACTGGGCAAGAACTTGGGCAAGAACACATTTAAATGAACTCAAGGATTTCAGTTCTTATAAAGCTTGAGTCTAGTTCCAAAGTCAATGTGCAGATTGACCAGGAACATCTCTACCTACAGAGGACCATGGCTCACTAGCTGAGCTTCCTTCCTGCCCCACAGTCACTCTCCATGGCCTCCACATGCTCGTGAGTTTCTGCATGTCCTTCTGTTTTCTACACTCCAGTCTGTGAGGTCCCACCTCTTCTGACTGTTGTGTGAAACCTCCTCTCCATCCTGGTGTGCACAGTGCTCCCCACACACACCAGCACAAATGCCTCTGATGGCACTGGCCATCAGACTGCATCAACTCTTCTCCATTAAGTGACTTCCCGGGATCCACTTTCTCCATGGAGTCACTCTCAGGAAGTCCCATCTAACTGACTGCTGGATCCTTCCTCCTGCCCAAGTCAAGCAAGCCTGAGTATATCAGCATAAATCCAGACACCTCTTCCTCCTCTCGGAAATGTGAATTCTTGGGTTGGGGGTGTGGCCAAGGGTCAGCGTGACTGCCTGGGAAGTGTGAAGCCCTGAGTTCAAATCCCAGTACTGAGAAAAAAATTTTTTAATTCTTTATGGATAGAGTTTCCAAATTGAAAAAAAAAAAAAAAACCCTCTCATGTCTACAACAACTCCTACTGGGCTAATGAAGAAACCTGTAGCCTGTTAGTGAATTTTGATTGATTGACAGGATTTTATTTTTCAGTGATAACTTTCAACAAGTAGAAGTAAAACAAGATTTTTTTGGCATTATGAATTTGACTCTGGAGCCAAAGTATTTAGTTACTAATCCGAGCTCTATTACTTCCCACTGTGTTATTCTCTTTGATACTTAATTGTCTCATTTGTTAAGTGAGGGTAACAAATAATATTTACTTAACAGGATTATTTTAAGGATTAAATGAGATAAACCATGCAAAGCTCTTTGTTTAAATGGCACAGTATGCATTGAACATTTAGTAAATGGTTGTGGTTGTTCTTTACACCTTTAATATATCAGAAAAACTATAAACTATAGTTTTAATAAACAGAAAAACTATAAGCAGTCATTTTCCAAGGTCTGGGTGTACCTCATATAATGGGATCACCAAGCTATGAAAGTACCAGTTTGTTCTTTTTTTTTTTTATTTAGAGAATACTTTATTAGTTTCTGTAATCAAACCCACGTAGATAAGACCTTACATATTTAATACAGTGCATTACCCCTGTACAAATGGAAAAAAAAATTAACCAGTTTGTTCTTAATGTACCTTTCTTTGCAAAGCTCTGAGATTGTATACAAAGATTGATAGCATAAAAATAAATTCTTGTCTTTTACCATACCCTACTCAAAACAATATGCTCCCCTCATTTCTACCCATAGAACAAGAATAAAGTCAACCCTTAGCTCCCAAGGGTCAAATCCAATGGACACCAAGATTCCTATTTCACTTGACCTCCTCTGTGTTAGACACTGTCGACTCTCCCTCTTCCTCAACTTCCAAAATACAAGCTCTATTGACTTGATTTCTGGTTGGGTGGGTGGCGATTCCCAATTCTTCTTTGTCCCCTTCTGAGCACCCCTTCCTTTTCTTCAAATAGCACTGTTCCTTTGATTTCCCCTGCTTTCCACCTTCACACCCTTCCCCTGGGTAGTATCATTTTCCCCCAGGATTTCAACAAACAGATGATTCCCCATCCATCTTTTCTGCCATTGCCTGAGTCTAAGCACTCCTCATTTCCCACCTGGCCTGTGGAAACTGCCTCTTAAATGACCCCCTGACTGATACCTTTCCCCATTCTAAAGTCTCTTCCCCATATGGTCACCAAAATGACCTTCCTAAAGTATAAATCTGACCTTGTTGCGGATAAAACTCTCTTACCTTGCTAGATAAGATCGTAAACTGCTTAAGCTATTTATCCCGCATGGACGTCTATCTAATGACCAACAGTGAGAAGGCATCTTATAAGCTTTGTTGTTTGGACCATACCCAGTTCAAAGAATACGGTTCTGAAAGATTTCAAACCTTTTAGATTATTCAAATCACTTGTATATTGCTAGTTGTACCTTTAGATCAAATAAGAAGTTCTTAATTCCAGCATATGAAAATCATCAGAGCTCTTAAATTGAAATATTAAGAGCACTGTAATTATAAGTAAAAATATATATATATGTATATATATACATATCATAAATCATTCCTTTTTACAGGATATAAAATTTGAAAGAATGTAGATTTTATAATAGTGAAAGTATATAATATAAATACATGTAGATACACTTGAAGTCAGATGTTGAAACTTGACTATGCTATAATTTGTTACAGTCTAGTACTTTGAAATTTGTATCCATTATAAATTACACATCCCCATATTATAAAACTGCTAAAAATCAGTCTTTGCTATAAGCCAGCAATCACTCTGAGAAGCCACACATCTCAGACCCTATGTGAATGTGCAGGAACAGCGTTCGGGGATGTACAGGAATTCAAGAGAAATTGCTCAAGGGAAAGGGGATAATGACACTACCTGGCAGGTCAGAAGCTGAACTTCTAACTTCTTGACCATGACGTCTTGACCATGGCCCTACTTCTCCTTGATGAGACTGACCTAATTCATTCATCTGTCAAGATGCCTTGTCTTCAGAATGAGCAGCTTGAATTACAGATCTCTATGGCCCTCGCCAGTCTTCAGATTTGAGTATTAAAGCTACGGTGTACTCACAGGACAGGAGAATGCCCCCAGAACACGCTGTTGGAGAGATCAGGCACACAGCTTCTCTCGGATCACAAGCGGTTTAAAAACCATATGGGTATCTGGACTTAAAGAGGCTCCTCTCCCATCTGCATTTCTGCAAGCCTCTACTCTTAGGTGCTACAATCCTTAGCTCCTTCTCTGCCTTAACCATGCTGAGCATTTCCATGTAACACAGCTCAAGCTGCTCTAGCCTTGACTCAACAAGAATTGAGCAGTGCTCAACACACAATCTCCCTGCCTCCGGGTTGAGTAAAGACTCCTCCTGCCACCTCCTCAGCCTTCACTGGCACACAGTAAGCACTGCGTACGAAAGGGCTGGAGGCATGACTAGTGCCTGTGTTCAGCATTGGTTTCTTGTGTTAGGGTGATAACAGTTACACGCGGTAAAAATCCAGGATAGTCTGTGTGTAATACACAGTTTAAAAGTCTGCATCACCACGGTCAGAGCAGTTGGACATTTTCTGCAGTGGAGCTTTACTTTATTCGATAGTGTCAGAAGTGAATTGGACAGGTTTCGCCATTTTGAACTGCACTTTGCTTTATGATGAACTGCAAGCCAGAATCTAGGCAGTTGACTTAGGGCTCAGCAGCATAGCCAATAAAATATACAGAAAAAAGTTCATATTCTACAGTGTATTGACCAAAAAGCACTCCAGCAATATACAATTCTGCAGATATTTGGACATATTTGGTTCGGATTGCTCTCTCGTAAACTTTCCTTTAGAAAGAAAACGCTTGGCATATAGTTACTTTTGTCAACTATAGGTAAGGTCCTGTAAAGCTGATGGCAAAAATACAGTGAGCGTGTCTACAAATTCAAGCTAAAGAGAATGCAATATGTTTGCATAATTCAAGCCAAAGATCCACATTCTCCTCTGTAAGTGTTGGATCAGAAGTCCAACACTCACAGAGAAAATCCAGCAATTCAACTGCAGTTTGCTCTGCTTTGAAGCCTTGCATTTGTCAGAAGAAATGCAAGCTTTGGAACTGAGTCAGAAAAATGTGTGAAGATGTGCTATACTGGCACTGGGCTTGTGGCTCAGTGGTCGAGTGCTTGCCTGGCACTAATAAGGCCCTGGGTTCCATCCCCAGCATGGCAACAAAACAAACGAAAAAAGCTAAGCAAACAAAACAAACCCAGATGCGAGCACTTTCCAAAATAGAAAACTGGCCCAGCCCGTTCTTGGGAGTCCAAGAAGTGTGAGGTCCCTCCCTCAAATCACCAACCTCCAGTCACCCAAAACTCAAGCTCTGAGTATAACTTACCCTATGACGACACAGGAGATGGCAGTTCCCAGGAAGGCATATGTTAAAATAGATCCTAAGTTTTGAAAAAAGTGTCTCTGTGGAGAAAAAATAGTATGTCATAGAATACGTCTGCATTTCTTAGTGTAACTGGAAATAAAAATAAGTTTGTGCTAGACACAGGCCCTCTCTTCTCTCATGGTTTAGGCAAATTTTGTTTTTGGAACCTCATGCTTGGCTTTACGGTGCCCATAGAGACTTAAGGAATTTCACTGCAAATGATAGGGGAAAAGGAAAGAGAAAAATATCCACAAGTTGACAAGGTAGGGATGAGACCAGAGCCAGCTGGATCTGAGACAGACAGATGGAAGGGCTGGACAATGACTATAGAGGGGTCTGGGATGATCAGTGAGAGAGTCTTTAAGAATCTTTGTTGTAAACATCACACCTTTAGCATTGTTAAAAATACTAGTCTGAGAAATTTAAGTTGCCTTTGACTTTTATTGTGTCTCTGATTGCCCTGACTTTTGTATATTTTCCAAAGGTGATATAATCAAACTTTCAAAAGCTTAAGTATTTTAATGAATCACAAACAAAATGATGTCTAGTGTTGGGGATGGAAGATGAAGAAGGATGATCTGAATACATTCAGCCTTCTTTTTCTTTTCAAATGCTTGTTTAGGAAAACTCCCTTCTATTTCTTTGGTCAGGAGCGAAGTAGCCAGTACTGACAGCAAGAGGGAGCCTGGAGTTCACACAAAAAAAATCAGGTTTGTGAGGAAGTAGCTGCCAGGCTGCTAAGATGACAAGGCAAAGGGAGGAGGACTCTAGGAGTCCCCAGCATGGGAGCAGGGAGTAGAAAAGCAGTACAAGTCAGAGCCTCCTTCTGTGGCACTGGGGACACCATCACTTAAACTCTTGCAGGAGTTACTAACATATGAAATATACACAGGCGATGCCTAAGTATTGTTGGGTGAGTACACAGAAACCGAAAACTGGGCTTTCTCGCCATGAACCTCAATAACATTCTTGGCTTTATACCCTGATGGATAAACCCACTGTTAACCCATAAGCAAACTCTGGCTGTAATCATGGCATCCAGCAGAAAAAGAACTTGAGTCGCTGTGTCATTTAAACTTTTTCTCATAGCCCCATAAAATGAATTTTTTGGTGTTTTGTTTATCCCAATATATAAATACTATCATTTGCATGTGAAATCAATATAAGACATTATTGAGATGATTTACATTCTTTTTTTAAAATGCCAAATCTTTAAAATCTGGTGCACATCTTAAAGTCACAGAGCATCTTACTTCAGACTAGTCACATTGTGAGGATTCAGTAGCTAATGACTTGTATTTGGGCAAAATAGGTTTAAAAGAATTCTAAGTATGTCAGGTTAGAATCTTTATTACATAACCATGACAAAGACATTCTCAGTAAGTTGGAAATCCCATAAAATAGCTATTTTTTTATAAGTACTGGAAAAATTCTCTACTTAATGATTAAAAAAAGAAGATTAGCTTCATAGATTTACCTTTTTTAGACTATATCCTGCATGAAATATAATTGGTGGCAGTAAAACATTGAAGAAGATTTCTGGGTCAAATGTCATCTGTCAGAAAAGACAAAAGTACAGTTAGAAATACATTCCTTTAGGTCATTAAAAATGTTTTTGAAAAAGCAGTTATTGTCACTTTTGCTAATATTGTCCGAAGCCTGTATTCACATGCTATTAAATTAGCAGACATGAATGCATTTCTCAAGTGCAAATTTAGAAATTCATAAGTGTAGTCTAATGTAAAATAATATTTTAAATGTAAAAGCTATATATTTTCATCTTATTGCTAACAACAAACACAAATACTCAATGAAATCTGTCTAGAAAACAGTTTATTTTATTTTGAATAATGATTCATTCTCATATTTTGAACTTACAAAAATACCTGATCAAAAGAATGGGTAGTGCTCCAATGTTTTGACTGCTGACAAGAATTTATTTAAACTGCTTCCCAAATTTAAAAAAAATAGAAAACTGGTCTTCACTTTTCCTATTTTATCCTATTCCAACATTTAAATTATTTTCCAGACTGTAGAAAAATGCATTAGAAGATAAAAATGGATTTTTCTGGCATTTCTTCCTTGGTTTTATTTAAGTGTTAAAATAAATTTGGCCAAAAAACAAGTATGAGTAGGTATGAAGTACAATGAAATGAGATGTAAGCATTCTTGAATCCAGTATCTGCTATATACTTGGTAATCTGAAAAAACCCTATTTAATTTCTAAAACTGTCCTAGACTCGTCCTCATCCATCTTTTTTTACTTCTCTCTGCCTCTTATCCTTTCACTCCCTTTCTCCCTCCCCTCCCCGCTCCCCTTTCTTCTCTCTCCTCCCCCATCCTCCTCTCTCTCTCCCTCTCTCTTACACACACACACACACACACACACACACACACTGCTGTTCATTGCTTCACCACTAAGACATTCTCACCATTAGAGCACTCATCAAAATCCTTCAGGTGTACATGGGTTTTGCAACTATAATTTATAATGTCCTTCCCCTTGCATGCCTTTTCTCACTCCTCTCTGAAGCTGGGTCTCAAAAGTTACTGACCTCCTAGTTCCAAACTGACCATTCTTCCTTCTGTGCTTCTGTAGCATGTAGGACCCTCCTTGTAGCATCTATGATTCACGACACACTTGGATGATTATTAGTTTCTGTTTGACCACTTCTCCCACTAAATCAGAAGCTTATCAAGGATCACAATGATGCCTTAATCAACTCTGTATCACTTCTGTCCTTCCCAGGGTCTAGTCCAACACTCAATATATATTTTTCAATTGGAAAGAAAAAAAAAACTACTTCTGAGAGTCAATTCTATTAAACTGGAATGAATTGTGCTTACCCTAAGGATTATTTAGGTAAAAATTAAGAAAACTTCTCTTGATCCAGTTTTCACTTTGGGCCTCATTGGACATTGTCACAGACTCTCTTCTCTTCCCCACACTGGTCCTTCAACTCTGCTTATCTAATTCATATTTAGGAAAGGGAAAGTAGAGGAAATAGGAGCCCCTAACTCAACATGGTCCACTTTCCCGAGCTAATCAGGCAACCCATTGATGCCATAGCCCCTTGGGCTAGTCAGTAAAAGAATAGGTCAGCTTGACCCCAACCTCCACCATGCTACATTCTCTGCTACATTCGCAGCTCTCTCCTTGTCCTATGTGGCCTTGCTCTTATAGTATCTCCTTGCCCTATTAATTACCTTGGCTTACCATGGTTCAAACCCATGGGAAGTAGGATATGATGATCGGTTCACTTTATCTTTTCATACCAAATTTAGGGGCCCTGAGCACTGACATGTCATAGGTTGGATGACTTTGGGTAGATGACAATTCCTGGGCCTATCACGCATGAGTTCTGGTTCCTACACAAGCTTTCTCTTTTCCAGAAAGGATGGAGTCTGTGGCAAGATTTCTAAAATTAGTCTGCCAGTGCACACACCTCTAAGCATTTAACGTGATGCTCGACATATAAAAAGAGGGAGAATAACAGACCTATTTCCTACCCACTTCTGTTCTTGATAAGGTCAATGGACTTATGCCTTTTTGTCCTGACAACTGTTTCTCCCATGTTATTCTAGTTTCTTCTAGTAAGAGGTGAACTTGTTCAGCAAAAAGAACATGCTGTTATATTGATTTGTTTCCCCACATGATACCTGGTTTACTACCTGGTAGGGGCAGAATGCATTATGTAGTTTATTAACTGATTGGAGACTATACCTGAGAAGTTCTTGGTGTAAGAACATTCCTCAGTTCTCTGGATTCTAGGCTTATGCAAAACCAAGGTGGTATATGTGGACCGTATTTTACCTGTGACCAAACACCTGAGAAAAAGAGAGGCCATCATGGGGAAAGGAAGAGATGTTTTCTTAACAGGTGCCTATTCCTTCCCAGGTACATCACTGGATATTTCACTTAGTCCCCACAGGTAAGAAGAGAGAGCTGGGCATTCATGCATTTCATTCTCTCATCATTAGGTCATTCAATTTAGGATGCAAGCTGAACACTAAAGGTCATGGTGAATAAGTCCATTTTACAGAGGAGAAAACAAAGGTGTGCAGGCTTTGGCTTGTCAAGGTCTGGCAACTGCTGAATTCTAGATCTGGGATTCTAGACCATGTTTTTGTTTCCAAGGTCTGGCTGTGTTTGTTACGTACTCTAACATACATGTTAGAGAACCCGGGTGGGTCTGCCCTCTTTTTTGCCATCACAAATTACTTAAGTTTACTCTGCCCATATCTGGCTCTCTCCTTGAGGGGATTTTGTTATCAGAATTGTAAACAAAGTAGGCTGCTCACTAACTATGTGACTTTAGACAGTTTACCTCAGTGTCATTTTCTAAAAATGAGTGGATTCTATCAAGTGGGGCTACTCAATTTGTTTGAACAATAGTCATAAAGAACCTCTTTGATGCCTTGTCCTATACTAGATACCAGAGGCAGTGGTGACCAAGACCTAGTTCCTGCCCCCCAGGAGCCTCTGTGTTGGGTTAGACCAAACTAACTAACTAATCAACTACCAACTAACTAAAGTTACCAATAGTCATTCAAGTTCCATGAAGGAAACAATCAAAGGGTTGTAACAGAGAATAACAAGATGGGATTTGTTCCGGTAGAGTAGACAGGAAGGATGCTCTGAGCAGGTAACATTTAAGCTGAGCTGCAAAAGCAGAAAAGGGTCCAAACAAGGGGAAGAATGGAGGGAAAAGAATCCCAGGCAGAGAGAATTAACACATGCAGAGATCTGAGGTAGGAGGCAGCTGCTTGTGTAGCCATGCAGAAGAAGGCCAGAGTGGCTGGGCAGAGCAAGCGAAGGTGAGAGTGTGGGAGGAAGGTGAGACTGAAGAAGATGGAGGCCAGATTGGGGGAGTTCTGGGAGGTCATTCCAAATGGGAAAGGTGGAAGTAGAAGTTTGAGCTGGGATGAGAAATGATCCGACTCATGCTTTAGGAGAATCACTTGGGTGATGGGGGTATGATGCAGATGAGAGAGGGTGGTGGCCTGGAGTTGTGGAGAAGATGGCAGCTTCCAGATGGATTGGGATGGACAAAGGGCAGCTGGCAGATAGGTGTGGGGAGTAATAGGAAGGGAAGAAATTGCTTCTAGTTCTTTTGCTTATGTAACTAAGAAAGCTTTAGGTCAGTGCCTGCTGCGTAGTAGAGCTAATGAAATGTTAGTTTGCTCTCACTATGCATATTCCATTCTTCGAGAAAAATTGTAGACCTTGCATTAATGCACACATGATTAAATTCTAGCCATTTCTTTTATGACATTGTTCATTAAAAAACCTGAGTTAAAAAGTTCCATTGAATGCAACAGTCAGTACAGAAGGTAAAGATAATGACTTGTCCATCCCATACATAAAACCAATGTGTTACATTGCTTTATTTTCAGAAAATCAGCTTTATTTTATCAGGTTTTGCCTTTTATAATTTATTCTGGGTTCTTAACACATCTTCCCTTTGGTCCAGAAATTCTGCAATTTGTTTTGGACAGACACATCCATATTTTGACTTCACTGTACTTCCCAAACCTCAGCTTTTAATACATGAAAAGAGAGCAGTACATTAGGAGAAAAAAAAAATCATCTCAGCTCACGCTCTAGGCTCCTTCTGTTACATAAGTTATCTGGAGTAGCTTTAAGGGGATGGACACTCAGAGCCAAACAGCCTGCATTCAAATCCTCAGCTCCTTGGCTTTGACGCCTGTTTAACCTCTCTGTGCCGTAGGCTCCTTCCTTATCTGTACCTAATAATAAATTATTTATAAGGATGAACTGAATTAATACTTATAAATCCCATGCAGCATCGCCTGGTGTCTAGTATGCACTTTATAAGAATTCATTACTAGAGAAAATAAAATATGTGAATAAATATTTTCAAGTTAGAGTCTTTTCAAACCCAGCTCTACTGCGAGGAACTCCTAAGGGTTGCACAACTGTGTAAAATGTGAGCGAATATCTTAATTTTCCTTCTAAGTTGATTCTTTTCTAAGATGGCAGAAAAAGCACTGTTGATCTACTCTTACAGGGGGTGTGTTTGCAAGCAGAGCAATTGCATATCTGAAAGTTTTAGACCCAGAGCTCCAGTGAATGAAGTCATGCAGTTGTGATCATCTGGAAGAGAGACACCCAGAGGCACAACCCTACTGACAGAGAACCCCTGGCCTCAGCAGTTTCTCTGCAAAAATTGGGTTAATCGTTCAACCAGAACATTTCAATAATCAGAGTGCCCCACTCCCTGCTTGCAGGTTAACTGATGTGCTATTGAATCGTATTTTCTGGAGTGGCCAGATGAAACTGGCAGGCTGAGAAAGGCACGCAGCACATGAGGGTTTATTTGTATATACAAAACAGATTTGTGTTCCTTTCAGACTTGCTGGAGGCTTAGGAACTGCTAAATCAGAGTTCTGGGAGTAACTCCAAGCCCAGACACTTTCTCAGCCATGTCTGGATCTGCCGCTGTACCAGCCTCCAGATGGGAGTTCCACGTGTCATTTCCCGCAGACTTTGTGCTAAAATTGTGGCCTCAGAGGTGAAGTTGTTTAAAAAAC